TAGAAATTTATCCTTTTCTTCTAAACTGTACAGTTCACATATAATTGTTCATAGTGTTCTTTAATAATCCTTTGTATTTCTGAGTTGTCTTTTGGCATTCTCTTTCATTACTGATTTTATTTGGGCTTTCTCTCTTTTTTTCTTGATAAGTCTGGCTAGAGATTTGTCAATATTATTTACCCTTTCAAAGAACTAGCTCTGAGTTTCATTGGTCTTTTCTGTATTTTTTTGGTCTATGTTTCATTTATTTCCACTCTGATTTATGTTATTCCTTTTATTTGAGTTTTCTTTGTTTTCTCTTTCTAGTCCCTTTAGCTGTGAAGGTAGACTGTTTATTTGGGAATTTTCCTGTTTCTTGAGGTAGGCCTGTATAGCTGTGAACTTCCCTTTTAAAATTGGTTTTGCTATATTCCATGAATTTTAGAAAGCTGTGTTTCATTTTGTCTTCAAGTAGTTTTTGATTTTCTGTTTGCTTTTCTCTTTGATCCCTTGATTGTTTATTAGCATGTTATTTAATCTCCATGTATTTGTGTTTTATCCAGTTTTTCTTTCTGTATTTGATTTCTAGTGTTACACTGTTTTGGTCAGAAAAGATGCTTGATGTGATTTTGGTCTTCTTGAATTTATTGAGGCTTTTGTTGTGGCCTAATATGTGGTCTGTCCTGGAAAATGTTTTACGTGCACTGGAGAAAAATGTGTATTCTGCAGTTTGGGGATAAAATGTTCAAAAAATGTCTGTTAAGTCATCGTAGTCTGATGTGTCGGTTAAGACCATTATTTTCTTACTAATTTTGTGTTTGAACGAATTATCCATTAAGGTTAAGTGGTGTATTAAAGTCCCCAGCTATTATTTTATTACTGTTAATTTCTGCCTTTTTGTTCATTAGTATTTGTTTTAGGTACTTGAGTGCCCCTAAGTTGTGTATGTAAATATTTACAATTGCCATATACTCTTCTTGGATAGACCCCTTTGTCATTATGTAGTATACCTCTTTCTCTCTTAGATTCTTTGTTTCAGAGTCTATTTTTTCTGATACAAGTGTTGCTCCCCCAGCTTTCTTTCATTTCTGTTTGCGTGGAGTATCTTTTTCATCCCTTCACACTCAGTGTGCCTTTTGATGTGAAGTGAATGTCTCATAGGCAGCACACAAATGGGTCTTTCTTTTATCCATTCTGCCATGCTGCTGTGTCTTTTGATGGGAACATTGAGTCTATTTACATTTAAAGTAGTTATTGGTATGTATTTGTTTATTGCCACTTGGTTGTTTTTGGTTGTATTTGTTGTTTTTTGTTCTTTTCTACTTCTCTTGATCTCTTCCTTTTGGTAATGCTGGCTTTCTTTAGTGTTTTGTTTGCATTTCTTTCTCTTTATTTTTGGTGTATTTTTTGTAGGTTTTTGGTGAGTGTTTACCATATATTCATCTGTATCTGTAGCAGTCTATTTTAAGATTACATGTAAGTTCAAATGCATTCTAAAAGCAATACATTTTTACTCCCCCTGCATACTTTATGTTATTAATGTCATGGTTTTTTTGTTTGTTTGTTTTGTGTATTCCCTATTTCTTTTAATTCATTTTGGTAGTTTTGTCTCTTAGCCTTTTAGCTCTTTAAGTGATGAATTCACTGTGTTTCTTATATATCTGCCTTTACCAGTGACTTTGTTCTTTCCTGTATTTTCTTCTTTTAGGTTATATAGTCCTTTCTGCATAAAGAAGACCCTTGACTATTTCTTGTAAAGCCAATTTCGTCGTGGTGAACTCCTTCACTGTTTGCTTGCCTGGGAAGCTCTTTCTCTCTCCTTGGACTCTGAGTGATCACCCTGCAGGGTGGAGTGCTGTGGACTGCAGTTTCCTTTTCATCAGCCCTTTAACTGTTTCCTGTCCCTCTCTTCTGGCCTGTAACATTGCTGCTGAGAAATCAGCCGGTGTAGCCTCATGCGGTTTCCCTCATGCGTGACTTCCTGTTTCCTTTTGCTGCTTTAAGGATTGTCTCTGTATCCTTACGTTTTGCCATTTTAATTATAATGTGACTTGGTATGGGTTTCTGTGGGTTCACCTTGTTTGGAACTCTCTGTCCTTCCTGGACCGTGATATCTGTTTCCTTCCCCAGATTAGGAAAGTTTTTAGCCATTATTTCTTCAAATATACTTGCTGCCTCTCTTTCTCTCCTGTTTCTGGAATCCCTTTAATGCAGGTGTTGGAGTCCTAGATGTTGTGCCAGAGACCCCAGAAGTCCCCAGTTTTATTTTCTGTTTCCATTGGGTGCTTTCCACTGCTCTGATGTTCAGATCACTAACATACTCTGTTAACTAACTTGTTAGTTCCTTTTAATGTGTTTTTTTCTTTTAAGTTTTTGTATTCTTCATCTCTGATTGGCTTTTTGTTATGTTTTCTAACTCTTTGTTGAAGTTCACTCTGAGTTCCTCTATTCTGCTCTTGTTTGTTGAGCATCCTGTGACTGACTGTCTAAAAATTGATTATCTGGCAAATTATTTATCTTTGTTTTAGTAATTTTTCTCAGGGATTTTTCTTATGTATTCATTTGGGGCACATTCTTCTGCCTCCTCACTTTGTTGACCTTTGTGTTTGTTCCTATGAGCTGGATAAGATAGATGTCTCTCCCAATCTTGAAAATAAGGTTTTGTTTAAAAGTGGCTTCTGCCAGGGGCATCCCCGACCCCCCGCCTGCAGCCTGCATGCATCCCAGGATGGCTATGAATGCAGCCTAACACAAAATTGAAAATTTACTTAAAGCCTTTTTTTTTGCTCATCAGTTTTCATTAGTGTTTACATATTTAATGTGCAGCCCAAGACAATTCTTCTTCCATTGTGGCCCAGAGACACCAAAAGGTTGGACACCCCTGGTAGACTCGGGCTGTTTGTTTGGGCAGGTTAGTTCAAGTGTGGTGCGAGGTTAGTGGGGTGTAGGCTTCCAGAAATGTTGCTTGGCCAGAAGTTGGTATAACCTGGTGTGTGCGGGCTTTCCTGCTGTTCCAGGTGGGGCAACCCTGTAGGTTGGGCTGGGGGCCCTCTGATCCTGTTTGTGATCCAGGTGGGGCAGCCTGGTGTGGGGCCTGTGGTGGCCCCCTTGCCTTGCTGCACTGCCGCTGGTCTGAGCTGGGAGTCTGGTGTGAGCCTGAAGTGCAGCGACCCTGTCCCCCTTGTCGGAGGTGGCGAGAGGCTTCCTGCTGTGCACCCTGTTGTTCTCACCGACTGCTGTGAGAGCCTGGCCCAAGCTAGTCCACCCTGTGGGCACGACCACCGCAGCCCCCAGTTCCTGCACAAGCTTAGCAGAGCTGCCCAGCAAGCATGAGCTAGAGCTCCTAGTGTTTCTGTTTTCGCTCCCAGTGGGGCATCCCAGGGGGCATGTGCAGCAGCGGCCTGGTGAGAGGGAGCCTCAGCACCCTGTTGGGCCTGCTCATTATAGCTCCAGACATGGGGGCCCTGTGCACACTGGCAGCGGCTCACTCTTGTTTCCTGCTGGAGCTAGTGCCAGGCAGGGCAGCTGGGGGTGGGCTGCTGCAGGCCCCCGGGGCAGGCAGAGCACCTGGTAGGGCTCCCATTGGGCCATCCAAGTGCAGGCGGGGGAGGGGGGGTGGGACGTAAACAGTGGCGCTCACCAGCTCCTCCATTCCTAACGGGTTCCCTCAGATTTCTGGTGGACTCCCATAGTTCCTTAATCTTCTCTGTGTGGTCGGTCTCTTTCTCTCTCCCCCCTTTGTTTTACAGAAGCTGTTCATGGGAGGGGCCAAGCTACAGGGCCTCTTTCACCGCCATCTTGGACCCGCCTCATACAATTATTAAAGCCAGGAAATGAACGTTGATACAACACCACTAACTAATCTATAGACTTTATTCTTAGTTTGCCAGTTTTCTCACTAGTATCCTTTTCTGATCCAGGAGCCTGCACAAGATCCCACTTGATTTTGTTGTCATATCTACTTAGTTTCCTCTAGTCTGGACGGTTTTCTTCATCTTTCTTCACCTTGACACTGGAAGTGTCAGTTTTGTGGAATTTCATTCAATTTAGATTTGTATGATGTTCTCTCTTGATTGGGTTGAAGTGAAGCATTTTTAACAAGAATTCCACAGGGGACGCTTTGCACTTCTTAATGCATCACATGATGGGTATCAACATGTCTTGTGAGTGGTGACGTTAACTTTGATCGCTTGGTTGAGGGCGTTTGAGAGATTTCTCCACTGTAAAGAAGCCCTTTTCCCCTTTAAAATTAAGTGTCTTTAGGGGGATTCTTGGAGACTGGAAACATCCTGTTCTCACAGTTTTTGCCCACTAATTTTTAGCTTCCTTTAGTGACTTTCCCTGCTGCAATTATTACTGTGGTGTTTGCTCAATAATAATTTTATATTTCTATTGTCCCTTCTATTCAGTTAATTAAAATTCTGGTGTCAGGAGTAGTTCTCCCTTCTCTCTCTCATTTCTTTCATGATGTATTCATATCACATCATCTCGTCTGTGAGCTGAATGGCAGAGCAATGAAAATGCTTTGGAAATAAACTATCCAACCTTCTTCGCCAAGAATCTCACAGCAAAAAATTAAAAGGTTTTTATAAAATAAACTCTATTGACAAGTCAAAGCCCAAGAAACATCACCGTTTTGTTTCTTTGCCTTCATTTTTCAGCTCACAACAACATACGACAGATTCTCCCACAAACAGCAGTTTAGTAATGCCTACTTGCACCAATTAAGTATTGAAAATGTCTGTATTTAGTGTTGATGTAAGTATTAAGTACTTAAATAAAAATGTGTATTTTAAGCCCTGGCTGGCGTAGCTCAGTGGATTGAGTGTGGGCTGTGAACCAAAGTGTTGCAGGTTCGATTCCCAGTCAGGGTACATGCCTGGGTTACAGGCCATGACCCCCAGCAACCGCACATTGATGTTTCTCTCTCTCTCTTTTTCCCTCCCTTCCCTCTCTAAAAATAAAATGAATAAAATCTTTAAAAAAATGTCAGTTTAAAAAACGTGTATTTTGTTTTCCAGGTGCTGGAGCCATTCTGATCCCTCGCTTAGACCTTGTAATCTCCTTCGTTGGCGCCGTGAGCAGCAGCACCCTGGCGCTGATCCTGCCGCCGCTGGTGCAGATCCTCACGTTTTCTAGGGACCACTGCAGTGTGTGGATGGTCCTGAAAAACGTGTCCATAGCCTTCACTGGGGTCGCTGGCTTCTTGTTAGGGACCTATGTCACTGTTGAAGAAATCATCTCCTCGACCCCCACAGTTACGTCCAGTACTTTACAAAGCTCCTCTCTGACTTTGAATGCAACGTGCTCTACATCTGGTTTGAAATAGTTGACGTGGAATTATGAGTCTTCTACTTTTGTCTCAGTTCTGAAAATGACTGAAAGAAGGACTGGTAGAATGAATACATTGCCATAGACTTAAATATAAATGCAAATTCTGTTTCCTTTTGGCACAAATGGATATTTTGGCAGTAAATTGTAATTCTTGCCTAGTAGTGGTAGACTATGGCAGATTTGTGGTTTTAGCAATAAGTGTTTCTTAATTTAGTTTTGAAAATTGAGCAAATTAAAATGTTAAATAATTAAAGAGTAAAATGGCTTCTATTTTTCATTCAGTCAGAAATAGTTTAACCGAGACCCTTTGTCCCCATTCTACTGTTTTGTCCCCAGCTAAGGAGAGAGCAGGATTTCACCAGTAAGAGAATTAAAATCCTAATTTTAATTTAGTGAATTCTTAATTCACTTGGACCATCCTAGTCAATGTCACACCACATTTTATTTATAATGTAAAAATATCTTGATTATGCTTTTATTAGATAGCCAAATACTTAGTCCCAGGAAGTATAGAAAACTCTCATTTACCATGTTAGCATCAGAAATCCATAAAACTGGAATTATTTTTATACTGTTCTGTAATGATAGTTGATCTTCATACTGAAACCCAAGGGGCCTGTGCAAGATCACTCAGCCTTGAGATCAAGAGAAGTGATCTTTTGATTCCCAGTCCAGGATTTTTAAAAATATTTTTCACATCACATCTAGGAAAAGAATAAAGTACGTTCAGTTCTACTTTAGTGTTGAGTCCCTTTGTATTTTGACTACTCTGAAGGCTGTGATCTTTGAATGGCACGTGTGACCCGAGCATAGAGTCAGAACCCTGCCGGACGCACCTCTGTAGTGCGCACCGCACCGGGGAAGAAGCGGTCTTTGTAACGAGGGAGAAGCCACGTGCTGGCTTAACTGCTGGCTGGTGGAAGGTGCCCAGCTGTCATCTGTGGTTGGAGCTCTTACTATTTCTTCCCTTTCTAGGTTTTGTGGGCACCATCCTTCTTAATGGACACAGATAGCTGACAAAACACAGGGTTTCTGCTGTTACCGGCCCTGTGGCTCCCCTTTTACTGATCTGAGTGGGTGGAGTAAACTCCACTGAGATTTGTGCTTAGGAAAAGAAAGACCATTTTAAACTGTCTACTAAATATCGAGACACTGTCAGTTTCTTCCAGAGACATACTTCTGTCCTGTAGTCTTTATACCCAGTTATTAGCCAAAACAAAGAATCCTGCTTTTTAAAAAATTCACACTTTAAAACATGTTGAACTGTTTAATCAGGCTGGTGGTATTCCAATCTGTAATAGTACAAGACACTAATATCACTGCACTGTATATATTCTTTATTTTTATATGTAAATGTTAACTTAAGTCAAATATTTTTTGCTTACATCATGACTGAGTCATCAAATAAAATCCTAAAGAAATGTCATAAGCTTTATTTTGGACATAAATTCATACGAATCAAAACCTTTCTAAAGCATTCACATTGAGTATTACCAATACTTGTTTGTGATATTTTTATTTCAAATCTATTATGTTGAGCCTTCACTCATATTGAGAAAATATGAAATATGTTAACAGGAAAAGTAACCGTAATTGAAACTAATGTAATTTTGAATCTAAGAATAAGGCATTTTTTAAAATGTGGAATGGTATTTCGGCGCTTTGCTGCTTGCTCCCAGATGCCAGTTCGTCGTCACTGTGCACACCGCCCCCATCCCCACCCCCACCCCCAGGAGAAGGCCCCAGTGAGGAAGAAGGGCCAAGAAGCCTGTAGGCTGTCTCAGCTCACACCAAGGCTGTGGCCGCCTCCAAGGAGCGCAGTGGCCTGTCACTGACTGTGCTCAAGAAGGCACTGGTGGCCGCCACCAGCCAGGACATGGACAAGAACAACAGCCAAATCCAGCTGGGCCTCGGACCTGGTGAGCAATGCCTCCGGTGCCAACCATGGGCGCTGGTGCCTTGGGCTCCTTCAAGCTCAACAAGAAGGGGTGGAAAAAATGTTTGGTGGTATAAAATAATCGAAAACTGTTATTTAATAGAAAGCACTATTAAGAGTTTGTCAGCTGTCTTTAAATGATATTTCTGGTCTGTATGTGAAATTTTACTTTTATGTTTACTTGTTTATTTTCCTAATGAATTCATCTAATTCAATAAAATTTCTATTAGTTTATCATAGCAATAGATAAAATTTAAATTCAGCATGCATAAGCGTTGAACACATCATTAACCAGGCTTTCTTACCCAGTGAGTGCTACAGTGGCACCCAGTGCCTAGAAGTCACTAAATTTATCGATACTCTGGGTACAGGAGGAAAACTGAAATGCAGAAAAGAGGAGGGATTGGAAGAGAGAGAGTAATTTTAGTTCTTAACAGGAAACCCTATTTAGATGTAAAGTATAAATGCACTAATTGAAGGATTTTGATGATGAGTTTTACTTGTAAAAAAAAAATTCAGTGGGCAGTATTTTTCCTCTGAAAATTTAGTTTTAATGAATCCTAACATTTTCTAAAGATTTTTGGAGAAGATATTTTGACTAGAGCAGATTTTGCTATTATATTAGGGCCTGGAAAAATGGGAGTGATTGCAGCTGCCAGATTTGTGTTTGGTATCTCTGCTCCAGTACATTATTGCTAAAACAACTTCAGTGTTTCATCAGCCGCCCCAGGAAGTCCCCTCTTCTCTGAAAGCTGCTCAGGTGCCTGAGAGCCATTTCCACTGCTGGGGTGAGGGAGAGAAAAGGAAGCTTTACTTGCCTCTGATGAGCTCTGTTCTAAGTCAGTTCCTGCTATTCCCTTACATTCAAAAGGGTTTCACCAGTTTTAAAGTTGACTTATCAAAACACTGGTTTTTAGACATTACTCCACAAATAAGAACTAGGGTTTTTTCTTGGCTAAAGACCAGTTTGTGTGGTGTTACCAAATGAAAGAAGTACTGTATTAGCAAGTGCACATTATGTTTTAATTCTGTCCTCATTGGATTCTCCTTTATTGACACCATTTCTGCCTCTCACAGGACGCACCCAACAATTCATAAGCATCTTACGCAATGAGCAAGCTGTAAATTTCCTAACAGGGCCTAATAACATTCAGTAGTCTCATAATAGTTACAGAAAACCTCCCTATCTGCAAAGTACTCTAAACCATAAGCTGAAATATTCAAGTTCTATGTCTACCATTTCTAGCTGAAGCAGAGCACAGGTCTCCCTGTAGCTTACCTGTGGCACCTGTTCACGGTGAATGTCAGTCAGGACAGCAGTCAAATAGTGTGTTCGTTTCCTGTGATGCTCCATACCCACAGTGGTAGTAGGTCTTGATTTCAGTCTCTTCTTTAAAAGGGAGAAGATGCAGAGTAGACAGCATGGAAATAATAAGTAAAATTACTGAGCACCAGTGGCTCAGTGAATATTTTCTGTTGTGGATAAAATAATTTGATAAAAACAGAGACCATTGTTGATATAAAATGACTTTTTAAAAAAGTGAGTCTATTGTTACCTTTCTGGCTCAACTAACTTCCTCTTCATAAGAAAATTTTTGAGGAACTTTGATTTTAAAAGTATAGCAAGATACTTGCTGACATGAAATGGCTGATGGAATGATTAATACTCTGACAGAATTAGGGTTCATCTAGTTTATACCTCTGGTACTCAGGAGGCTGACCACCTTTCTCAGAGCGATTGGTCTCCACCAGGGAGATAAGGAGACATGTTTAAGAAATGATTAGAAATACTGTATATTGCCCTGTGGTAAATGAGATGATATTTTTAAAATTAGCTAGTTTGTATGCACCCATGTGTACACACACCGGTAATTATGTGGATTAGATAGTACCGATGTACCATTTAAACTGGGTGCAGAAAGATATGTTGAAAGATCACTCTGAAAATTCCATTAGAGGTCATTCTGATAGTAAATAGGAAAATACATGTTTATACCATAAAGAAATTAAGCTGTGGATTTTTGTTTTGTGAAGTGATTTTGTTAGTTTGAATGAAAACTAAATGCCATTGCACTTGACTCACTTCTTTTAACTTATTTTTCTTCATAATATGAAAAGTCTTAAAGTACTGAAACTTCTGAATTTTCAATAAAATATTATTTTGCTTGCAAATAAATGCCTTTTAAACTTGTCTTTTATAAGGTTAAAAGACACATATTGTAAGCTGCAAATGGCATTAGAATATGTAATATTCTCATAGCATTTCAATGTCTTTGTGGTTAATTTTCTGTCGTGCGATCGTCAGCCTTGGGGGCTGATACTCTGCCTCAGAGAGCCGAAGCTGATTACAAATGAAAGGACACCCTCAAAACCATGACCTGAACTTTCCGCAGTAAATGCAAAATGAGCAGTTGGCAAATGCTGCATTCGTGGTTTAATTTACTACTTTCTTAAGGTCAAGACCATGTATCAATCACATTTTAGTACCCTTCATACCATTTTATATCAGTAACCCTGCTCTTGTGAACCTTAAACAACACGCCAGAAGAAAAAGACTCTGTGCCTGAAGGTCCTTGGCAACATTAGGTCTTAGCAGTGAGAAAGTGGAAAGGACCTAAATGTTCAACAATAAGGAAATCATAACTTGGGATATCTTCACCTGGACTACAGTGGCGATTGCATTAATAATACTAGTCTTATACTAATCTTATACATAAGATTAGTAATTTGGGAAATTTACGATTCATTTTAATTGCAGTTCTGTAAAAATATGCTATGAAACAAGACAAGGAGATACGTAGAAGGGAACCATAGTGTTCAGAAAGCAGATAGGTGTACTGTTTTTAAGTGCAGTCACAGGAGGGCTGTGAGAGAAGTAAAGAAAGAGATTTAGGGCAGCAACAGCCTGCGTAGCCATGGCACTGCGCTTGGCCAGCAGCAGAAGGAACGCAAAGACAGAAACAAGCCATTGGGTGGGGATAGGACTAGCTCTGCTGAGAGATAAATGCAATGAAAAGCCCTGTGGGATACTTACTAGACAAAAGAAATGTGGCCACTTTGTAAAATTAATTTCAGTGGAGTGTTTATGCAAAAGGTTTAGAGTGATTTTTTAAAATAGGTGCACACAGGCTCTCAAAAGTTTTGCATACAAGTGGACGGTGGCCACATTTCACGGGGCCCACAGACCTGAGGGAAAGGTTTCCTGGGAAAGGTCCATCAGTTTTTGAAGGACAGGTTTGACTCAGTTTCCCTATAAAGTCAGATTTGAAGTCTTAAAGTGTCTGAGGGAATCAGGTCTTTTGGCCTTCCTGGTTTTGGGGTGCTGTGAAGCCCAGGACTGCTTGGTACCAGATGACAGAATGCTTCTCGAACTAAAGCTAGTACGTTAACACTGCTGAGGAATTCGGGAGTAATTATGTTGTACCCTCCATCCTGCCCATGTAGGCTGAAGGACAGGGACTAGACACTGGCCACCCAGCATGCACCGAGCGGGGGGAACGGCATGGATCGCAGTTGGGCAGGTCTAGAGCCAAACAAGAAGTAAACCGAAAAACAGGGTGGTGCAGAAGCAGCATCTGCAGATGATGAATCTGCGAATGCCACATGTCGTAGCTCAGGCACTAACAGGCCTCCCCACAGGCACAGAACAGACACTCACAAATCTGATCTGGGCACTCTCCTGCCTTAAATCTCCTCTCCCCCAACCTGAGCTGTACAAAGACGGAGCTCCTTAATGTGGTTCTCTGGCAGGAGTCCCTGCTCCCACCCCCCACCACCGCTTCCCCCAGCACATTACAAAAACACTGAAGTGCTGATTGCACCCCAGGCACACACGATCTGCATGACTCCATCACCCTCATGCTGAAATGACTTCCTTCTATCCTTTCCCCAGTTTTTATCCTGGCCAGTCCTTCACTGTTGTTAACATTCAGTTTGGGTGTCTCTCCCACCAGGAAGCCTTCCCTATATCCATCTCCATCCCAGACTGAGCTGTGTATTCCTTCCCTCATGCCAGCGAATGCCCTCACGTTTGTGATCTGTCTTTCAACAGTGTTTGGGAATTTAAAGTCTGGTTCAATTATTGGTTCTAGTTTATGTGACTGTCTAACTGGCACATCCAATGGACTCCTCATCTGTCTCCCCTCTGGTCTCTTCCCCACACTACAGCCAAGGATCTTTCAAATCAAAAATGTTAGGACCCTCTCCTCCAACGCCAGCAGCTGAAAATCCTCCAGCCATTCCCCAGTGTTCCACCTACCAGTCCACTGGACGGTGCCAACTAGACAGGCCCATCGACTAGGACCAATATTTGAACCAGGAGCCACATTATTCAAGGTCCTGGTGAGAGGAAGACCATATAGAATGAAAAAGAATCAGTTCTTACATAAAGTATAGGGACTAGAGCTCTGGGATAAAGAGCAAGTCCCTGCGAAGCCCCACAAGACAAGGCCTGGCCCCTGTCTGCTTCTCACCCGAATCTTATGCCAAGTTCTCTC